ATTATTGCAGAAATATTTTAGTCAATGAAAGAATTAAATGGGATTTTCGAAGAGAAATTTTTATGTATCTAAATCTGCTCTATAATAAAGTTTTTTTGACAAACTGATCTACAAGTAATTAGGCACTATTCCTGATTAGTATGATGAAAAATCTCATCAAATGATATAATCTATTCTTCGTTGATTAAGTAGAGTTTATTTTTTCGACGAAACGGGAAAATCAATTAAGCTTTCGACGAAACGGGACCTAATCATAAATATCAACATCTGAATATATCCGATTTGCCCAATGATATTTTGCTCATTATTTTCAACAAACTCAATATGGTCGATGTTTTCTATTCACTTGTAGATGTCTATGAATGATTTGATCAATTGGTATTATATCTATTTCATACATCCAATCTCGATATGACTTCTATGATTATGAAAACATTTTTTGATCGCACCTACTCCGTAGATGATCAAGTTCTCGATAGAATTTGTGAAAATATTTTACCTCGAATTCATCATCAAGTAAAAGAACTTATTATTGAACAAGACTTAATGCAACGAGTTCTTCATTGTTTCAGTTATTCTCAACTGTACTCTTTAACATCGATGGATTTTCAAGCAGAAAAATTCAAGAAACATCAGTTAACAATCATTTTTCTTTCTTTTTTGCTTTGATTTGAGGGTGATGCAACTTTTTGTAATCTTCTTACTGAACAAATTACATATCTTAATATTGATGTTCAGAACCAGATAATATCATCAACAATGCTTGTAACTCTTTCGAATATATTTGCTGTGATTTTACATTTATGTAAGCGATTGATCAGGATAAATTTCTGTCAACTCCACTATCGAAGAACAAGGTGTACTTTTGACTTATCAATGAACTGCATATCTTCAACTTTGACTATATTAAAAATTAATGTTAAAACATTCGATGATTGTCTTTATCTGCTTGTCGGACGCCTTAATACTTTATCAAAATTGATTATACATGTGAAAAGAATATGACATACATCAAGAACTACAGAAAACACGGTTAGTGTAATTGTCAATTGTTTAGTTTTGTGAAAAAACAGCTAATTAAAGTAGATACGTAAATACAGTTTGTTTTGTTCTATTGTGGAAACTTTCCAAATTGAAATACTTCTCATTAACTTCGTTTCTACGAACGATGTGTTATAACAATCTTGTTATTCCATTACTTCGTCAAATGATAAATCTTGAGAAATTGATATTATTTTTACAACATTAAGAGTTGACTCGACTGATATCGATGATATTCAATTATATGATGATATTCTTGTTTATATGCCACAATTAAACAAATTTATTTTCAGTATAGACACTGGTGTATTGTGAAAGAATACTAAAATTACTCTTCCATCAAATGAAGATATTCAACATAGTTTCATTGGAAAAAGATATGAACAAGTTCGCTCATATATTCAAACTCCTTCAACAAGAGACGAAAGTAGATGACATATCTATTCACTTCCATATCAATTCAATAGTTGTTTTTACCGAAGCAATTCTTTTCATGGCAGAATCTTTTATAATGATCGATGCCTAATCTATGATAGACTTGGGTCCTTTTGAACACAACTTCTTCAAAATCATCTCTCAAAGTTTTCCTGTATTGGCGAATTCGTATATATATAATGATGAACTACACACAGGCGAGCAACAAGCAAGAACATATATTATGTTTCCGCATCTTATTCTTCTCGATGTGTATTTGGCACATGTAGATTATGCGGAACAATTCATGATTGATAAAAATTATCATTTATCTCGTTTGCTTAATCTTGACATCAAGTATGAATCAATCAAAACGGTTACACACAATTTCACCAATGATGCAACACGTCTCACTTGTTCTAAAATGACAAATCTTGATATTGATGAGCCATTTGTTCGTCCTAAAAATTTTGATCAATATTTTTCTTTATTATAAATAAAAATTGTATAAATGAAAACAAACAGTATCAAAAATTAAACTTATTTCGATCATACGAATCAAGTTAAATTAAAAAACCTACAAGAAAAAAGAAAAATATTTTTGGTATGTTTGTAAAAATAATAGTTTTTATGTTATTCATTTATTTATGTATAATCTAAAGAATAAACCTAACATAATTCATAATATTTTACATAAAGCAAATTAAAATCACATCTCATATATTCTCAATCAAGATACATATTGTAACTTAGTTAATGTATAAAGATTTGAAAAGAATTAACATATGATGCAAAAGTAATGGCATAAAATGTTGACCTTTTTATTTTCTCCTCTTTCAAATCATATACGATTTGTTTTTACCACACACTTATCAACAGCATGGCATGAGAGAAGAAAGAGACTCACCTCAAAAATATCTCCGCACTTCTTGTATGTCTCAAAATAACAGCACAAAATAAGTGTTGGAACAATATTTCTTCTATTAGCTGAAAGAAAAATTTTCCTCTCTTTTAAACTGTATATAATTTGTTTTTGCCATACATTCGTAAACGGAATGATATAACAAGAAAGAGAAAACGCTAGCCCCACAAATTTGTAATTTTTATATTGATTCATCCAATAAATCTTGGAAGATGACGTTTAATTGTTTTATGAAACAAAGTATTCCAAGAACAAATGATTCTAATATCGAAAGGTAATTTATATTATTATTCAACTGATTCAAATACAACTCCTGTGATATTAATTTCGGTTGATATACAGCTTTTTCAGATAGAACAATGAAAGAATAGAATTTCTTGAACAAGCAATTCTATTTCTATCAGTATCATTTCATTTACGAATGTATAGTAAAAACGAATTCCTATACAGTTCGAAAGAGGTAAAAATTTCCTACGAGCGGATAAAAAAACTATTATCTCAAGACGTGTTTACAGAAATATGCCAGTCGACATTTTGTGTAGTTTTTTTTGAAACATACAAAAAGTGCGGAGATATTTTTGAGGTGAGTCTCTTTCTTCTCATGCCATGCTGTTGATAAGTGTGTGGTAAAAATAAATCATATATGGTTTGCAAGAGGAGAAAATTTTCTTTTCGAAACTATTTCTAGGAGAAAATAAAAAGGTCAACATTTTATTGCATTATTTTCCCATCATATGTTATTTTCTTGATAATAAACTCTTTTAAATAATTTTCTATGAGATATGGAATCAACAACATTTAATGAAATAAGCATTGATGAAAATCATTTTAATCTATGTTAAACAATGATTAGAAAAATGATCTGTCTCAAATGAACGAGTAAATATATCTTCTACTACTACTTAAGGAAATAATGAAGACTGTCAATCAACTATAAACATTTGATCTATCTAGGGAAATCGTTATATTGACTCGACCACTAATTTTGTTTGTGTGTATTCGTATGTTATTAATCGATGAAGTGAAACAATTATAAATAATTATATGTGTAGAAATATTATTCACATTGACGACAATTTAGTTCAAATGGCAAAGAAACACGTACACGACAATAGTGTGAGATAAATACATTGATGTCTTCTCCATATTCTTTTGCTTTTCATCTTGTCACTCTAGTGAAAAGGAAAGAATGAAATTTATCGAATAAATCACAGAAAAGATTCATTTATCAATTATTAAAATTGCAGAATTCATCTGAATAGCGCGCGGCTTTTTTTGGTTTAATTTATTTTCAATGAATCAACAATGATAAATACAGTTTCATAACGATTTCTAAACAGCAATGAACTATTAGACCAATCGATCGAGAAATTGTTCCATTTCAAGCAGAAATGCTTCACCCCATATAAAGTCAAATATGTGAAACAGAAACGGAAAAAAGAATAATACATATATATAATCTATCAGTTGATATTAAACATATACTTGAACATATCAATTGGTTCCAAATTTTTTTTTCTTGCTGATTCAATAAAAAGTACATTATTCATTAGAGCGCGAAAAATGTAGTTTAGCGATATAATTTTTAGAGAAACGTACTTTCAAGTCTCCAGCTAGAAATAGTAGACGTATAAAATCATACTGCTATATTTTCCGTTTCTTGCAGCCAGCCGACTTTTCTACCCGGCCTTGGGTCGTATAGAGGTCTAGTTGAATCCATTATCAAAATTGTTGAATTCTGTCGTTGCTGGTTTTGAGTCAAGTCAGACTTGACTTGACTCGTTCATTTCTATTTATATCAGGTCTACTATCAGCTTATGTTACGAGTAAATCAGTTTATTGAGTTCATTCGATATACATCTGTTAGTTAATCAAAAAGATTCAACAGCATCATCGAAACATCAATTCATTGTGAGAAGTAGAGTTTTATTACATATAAAATTCGTTTTGTAAAAGAATAATCTAGTAGGATTATCTTAACAAAAATCACTTGATTTGATCTTTCTTAGAAAATCATCGGTCATGAACAATTTCAATTGATTGAATTTCAATATTGTTTTAATAACCAAAGAGAAAAATGCTTAAATCAAATTCTATATATCTTGATTATAAAAGAATAAAACATTAGTATTTGAATCTCATATCTCAAATAATTATTCATTGTATTGAAATCTCATAGCATTTATGATTACTTATAGTTTTAAATTGAAAAATGGTCTTTCTTTTGCTTTATACAAATACGACAATCACATATACATAGACAACAGACGACGACAAAAACACAAAGACGTTTTTTTTTTTTTGCAAAATATGTGAATACATACAGGAACATTTTTTCCCAGAACTTTTTTGTGTGTTTTCTCCATGCAAATATTCATGCCCACACATAAAAAGAGAAGTTGAATAAAAGAAAAGAAATGAACAAACAAATTGCTCGTCAATGTCTGCATATATATATATATGAGAGTGTGTGTGTGTGTTGCTGCTCAGCAAAGAAAAAAGTCTATCAAGATTGAATGAAACGAGCAAATATGATGAAAAGAAAAAGAAGACATTTTTGTAGCATGAATAGGAAAAAAAGAAAAAGACAAGAAAATGACCGCATTAATATATTGAAAAAAAGTTAGATTTGGGCAAGAAGTCGTTCAACTGCAGCATTTACATCACCCATTGTTGCTGTAAGTGCTTAAAAAAAATAAAATAAAAAGTTAAATACAAAAAACAAAACAATTCATTGATTGATTACCTTGTAAATTTGCTTCACGATTAGTAAAACCCATTGAAACAAGTTGTTCTAATTGAACAGCATAACGTTGATCTGGTGGTGTATTCTATAGAATAAATATAAAATAAATAAAACTTGTTTATTAAAATAAAAACATACAATATTTTGATTTGACATCATATTCAACATTTGAGCAAATACACCTGCATAATTGCTTGAATCAGTTGATGATGATGTATCGCCAGTAGGTCTTGTTGACGATGGAGCTTGACCAGTTGATGTTGTAGATGTAGATGAAGATGAAGCATTATTTGTTGAACCCCCAGTAGCAGTTGGTGAAGCTAAACCAGTTGGACCAAAGCGAAGACCAGCAGGTAAACCACCACTAAATTAATAGGAAGAAAAAATGTTCGTTTTCTTTTTTTTATCAAAATATTTTATTAATAAATTTACGCTTGAAAAAGATTCGGTGCTGCTGCATGTAAACGTTGAAGTCCTATACATAAAATAGTGAATTTATTTCTTTTTTGGTTTTAAATATTAATATTCTAACCTTCTTGAACTTGTGTAATAGCTTCAAGTGCTTCACGATTTTGCATTAATGCTTGTACTTCAGGATTTCTCATTTGTTCCATCATAGCTGGTAAAGCATTTATCATTTGTTCACGTAGTTCAGGATTATTAGCAAACATTGGATTATTTGCAATCATTTGTCTTGATATATCCGGATTAGCAGCAAGTGAATCCATTAATGGTTGCATATATGGTGCATTAAGAACACTTTCAAGTAAACGAGGATTTTGAACTAATTGTGACATATAATTTTGCATCATTGGAGATATTAAACCGGGTGAACTACCAGCAGCACCAGTTGGAATTGCTGATGGTATTTGTTGTTGTTGTTGTTGATTATTTGGTGTATTAGATGATGGTTGTTGACGATTAGTTGCAGTAGCTGTTGCTCCAGCAGTACCTCGAGGTGCCCATGGATTTGGTAATGGATCAGTGTTTTCCGTACGTGGTGCAGATGTATTTTCTATGATGACAATGACACAAAAAAATCAAAATATAAAAATGAAGACATTTAAAATACCTCCATTTCCAGTAAATAATTGTGTAAATGGATTATTACCAAATTGTTCTTGTGCTGCTGAATACATTGGTTCTTGCACATCATGATAAATACGTTGTAAAGCATTAAATCCACCTGGAATACTCTATTAAAGACAATGTTTAATAATAATAATAAAATATGATTAAGAATAAAAATATTTACTTCAAGATTGCTTAAAGCTCGATCATGATTACGCATAAGTTCTTGTAATGCTGTTGGATTACGAGCATATTCCATTGTTTGTCGAAGTAAATCAGGATTATTAAGTAAATGTGATATTTCAGGATTGCGCTTAAAATATTAATTTTTTGTTTTTTTTTTTTTTTAATATGAAAAACAAATTTTTCAATATTGAATTAATTTACCTCCATTAAATCACGCATTTGTGGATTGCTAAGCAATAATGAACGTAATAAATCTGGATTACTTGTTATACTTTGTACCATAGGACTTTCCATTAACTGACGAAGTTGTGCTGGATTACTCATTATCTATAGAAAAAATTACCAAAATGTATATCTAATAAAACGACTAGTGACTTTAAAATTAGAGTATATAACAGGACACTCTTTTTTTCTTGATAATGCAGGATAATATTTGAGTCCTGCAGAACATTCATGTCATTGAATTGATCTTGATTCGATCATTATTCATAGTAGTCGGAAGAGTATGTGCTATACTAGCGATTAATGCTTCGGTGAAAAGAGTATTTAACTCAGCAAGATTGACATTTATTCAAAGACAAACACGTTTATCACCAAGTCAAATAGACAACGCTATTGATTCGTTCTTATGAAAAACTCAACAGAAAAAACAAGAAAACTTATCTCTATGTTTGCTTCGCTCATCTTATTGACATCGGACCTCATATATAGACATGCATGATATCTCTTTCAAAAAAATGAAAAGATCGTCTCTGCAGAAAATCGAGTAGAACGAAGAAAAGTTTCTTTTGATGTTCTCTGTTCGAAATATCTTTTCTAAATGATTCATTTTTTATTTTTATTTTTCATAACTCTGTAGTGTTATTTTGGAATGTAACTATCACTATCGTGTTTTTTTTTTCTTTGTATAAAATCAGAGTGAGCATAATGCATTTGACTTATTCAAGTCAAAATTGAATATTACAATTATGTATGAATATATATATATTTACTTGTTGTTGAAGTTGTTGTTGCATATCAAGAAAATTAGTATTAGCAAAATTTAAATTTCCCATTCCAGGTGTTAAACCAAGACCAAATGGAAAACCACTTGTATTTGTTTGCGCTGTATTCGGACGATTAGCTGATGCTTGTGTATCACTAGTAGCAGTTGTTGTTGTTGTTGTTGTTGCTGTTGCATTAGCAGATGTACTTGCTGCTGTTGAATCTGCTTTAGGTGCTCGAATAACCAAATGGAGTGTAACACCATCTTTTATATCTATTAATTAAAAAATAAAAATAAAAATAGACGAAAACTATACTTTTAATAAAATGATTTCTTTATTTCATACCATGTTTTTTAAGATCTTCGTCATCTTTGAGAATTTTACCCGAATAAATAAGACATACTTGATCAATTGATGCATTAAATTCATTAGCCACAATATCTCTTAACTAATAGAAGGAAAAACAATATTAAAAAAAACAGAAGTGAATTTCATTTTACTTGTTTAACAGTAGACGATTCATCAATTGAAATATCTTTTTTTTCTTTTGGTGTTTTTATTGTTAATTTTAAATTTGATGTTATATTTTCAGTTTTAACTTCATCAGGATTTGGACTAGTAGTAGTAGGTGCTGTTTCAACAACATCAGTTACATTATCATTGCTTGTTGAACCTGTTCCAACATCCATTTGTTCATTGTTATTCTCACTCATTTTTTTTAAAAATACGAGTAAAAAAAAAATTTGATTAAAATAATCCTAATGAGAATAATCTAGAATATAGAAAAATGATGACTCAAAATTTGTTCTTTGTAATTATTATTCATAGAGATTTGTTTCCATTATTCACGAATGAAAAGAAGAAAAAAAAAAACAAACTGAATCAACAATGATAGATGTCGTCATATGTTATACATGACTTTTTATTCTCATGTAAGAAAAAAGAAGTAAGAAAATAAAAAGAATGACTCAATATGAAATTTTCTTCATTGGAAAAGTTAAGAAAATGTGATGGACGATGAGTTTCATGATAGAATTCTTTTGGATTTGATAAGATTACATCATATTTCATATGAGCATCATGATGAGTACCCTAAAAATAGAATAAAAGAAAAACTTATATCATAACAAATAAATATAAAAAGTATTAGTTTACCATAAAATTATAATTCCATAAATCTTGTCCTGGTATCATAAAAAGATCCAAAGAAACGATCCGACAAGAGTATTTGAACTTTTTCATAATGTGATGAAACATATCTTAAATAGAAAACAATTTCAAATAAATATTTTATTATTATTATTATGAGAATTTAATATCAAACCTTTTAGATTATTTTCATGATCAGTTTTTAATCGAGCCCATTCATAACCACTTGGTGTTAATTTATAAGCAGCTAATGAAACTAAATCAGGTGTATATGAACTCGTTATTATAATTGTTTTTTCTTCATCCCATGATTTATGATCATGCATTATTTTAGCATGTGTTATTATATCTTTTGGTGATAATTGTGGTAATCCATTTGGTTGAGTATGAATCCATCCAAGTGGTTCCTTATTCTATTTAAGTAGAAAAAAATAGATGATTTATAAGATTATCTAGAAATTGAATAAGTCCATCTAGTTTATTATTTTAGTCAAAAAATGATAAAAGAAACCGTCTAAACTCTTCTGATCCGTATAAATTTGTTCTTTTTTTCCAATATGTCCGAACTTGTATGGCTTCTTAGCAGTGTCAAAACATAAAATAAGGACAGACTTTACTGTGTACACAGCAACGAGTATGGCTTATGGCACTTTGAGGGATGCTACATGTATAGAAAAAGTTTCTTATGTGGGTAAAGTTTGTTTTTTTCTAATTCTTCAGAAATCCAATTCGACTTGCAAGTTTAGCATATGTGAAAGATTTGGACGTTTAGATTTAAACGTCTGGAAAAGACATGTCCTAAATAAAGAATGCTTTTTTTTCTAATTTAGCCATATTTTGCATGTCTCTCAGATAAAGTTATGTATTTCTTTTTTTAACAAGAGAACACATACGAATGTCAAATCGCTTTTGAGTCAGGACGATACGCTTCACATAGATCCTAAATGAGTTATAAATACTCTGCAAAATGTTCGGGCTATTGATATATTGCTGCGGAGATGTTGCAATTTCACGGGTTTTGTTTAACTATAATGCCGTAATCTCCCCTCAGGCACACCAAGAAATCGCAGTTTCGAATTATGACTTGGAACTTCACAGAGAACCAGACTCTAATGAAAATAGTTTACTGTGAAATTTTCAGATTTTTGTTGATTGCTTCTATTCCGAAATAAGAATATCGGAATCTACCGAATGTATATCGAAGAAGTTAAAACCTTAGAATAGAAGAAAAAAAATGATCTGTAACTTTGACAATAAGCTGTTTTTGGCAAGTCTTGCTTCTGTAAAAAGTTTCAAGTCGAAATTACAATACCTCGACAGTAATAAACTATGAGCCCAAATTTGTTGCAGAGTACTTATTCTTCAGTAGGATCTACGTGATGCGATGCACATAGTCGAGATTCAAAAACAGTTAGACACTTGGATATATTCCATCATTAGTGTTTTTCAAAGAAATGATAAAGCGGATTATATGAATTGAAGATAAGTTTGTTTTTTTTCTTTATCGATCATTAGAAAATGTTTTTTTGTTTCAAAGCAACAGCTTCAACTATAAGATCTAATAAGAAACTATGGAATTGATATTCTTTGAAAGGAGAATCCTGACTGTGATATTGAATAGGTTTATTTTGTGTTTCTTTTTTTTGCTGTCTTCTAATGCAATCTCGTTAATGCATCAAGATTTTCTTACTTTAATATATTCATGTTGTGGTAATAAATTTGGTAAATAAACAATTTCATGTGTACCTCTTTGTGGTGGTAAAATCAAACAACGAATTTCTTTTATTTTTAGATTATCCGGTGGACTAATACCATATAAATAACCAGCAATCTATAAAACAAAAAATAAAAACATAGAATATAATAAGTTCAATTAAAATCTTACTTGTGTACGAAGATCTGATATAATAATAAATTTTTTTTAGATATTTTTTGGTAAAATATATCGATAACCTGCTTCCTTAATATCATCTGATGAAACATAAATATGATTTGTACGTAAATATAAATTAGTTGTTGATATAGCTCGTATACGCCAATCAGTTTTAGATGCAAATGTTTGTCTTTCATAATTACTTCTAACATTTACAATGATTTCATCACCATTTTTATTAAATGTTTTAACTGTTATTTCTATTATTTGTGATGAATCTTTTGTTTTTTGTTCAATTTCAGCTATTTGTTGTCATTGTATACTTGGTGCACTTATTTCCATACCCAATATAATATAAACGTACTTCACTTTATGTTAATGATGCAATATTAACATTATTTTTTTTTACCATAATCAGATAAAATTAAATTTTTTTTATAAAATTTCGTCTTGAATCCATTCATCATTTGTTAATGTTGGCCATATATAATGATTTTCTGTTATGATTGTTTTATTAGGTTTTAAAATCATTTTAGTTCGATGCAGAGATGTCCATCGCGGTTGAAAACTGACCGCTGCCGCGCCGCGACGATAAAAGAAAAAAGCTACCGCACCGCGGTGATAAAAACAGAAAACCTACCGCAACGCTGCCGCGACACCACCAAAAATAACCATGCCGCGACCGCGCCGCTGCGGCGATGATTGTTAGAATAATGTTGTGAATTTTACGATCTGTGACTGTTCAGGACTGGAGCTGTTGTTACCAATCGGTAAGATTCGCTGAATCTCATAGTTTTGCACTTGCAAACATTGAAATTCTGTTCGAATTCATGCATTTTTGCATTGTTCTTCAAAAAAACCTACCGCTACCGCGCCGCCACCGCCACAGCGGCAGCGGCGCGGTGGCGGTAGCGGCAGCGGTCGCGCCGCGATGGACATCTCTGGTTCGATCATTATTAACATGTAATGCTTTTAGAATAAGAATTAAACGTGAAAATGCTGTAAAAGATGAAATGGATTTTAACCAATCATCATATAAATTAAACATAACCATTTGTGGTTCATTAGCTTTTAGAATTAAATCACCAAATTTTTCAACTTTAAGACATGCTTGAAATGGTAATTGTAATTCACTACCTTTGATAACTATATTTGGAAAATCTGTAAAAAAAAAAAACAAATTCAAACATGATACTCTTTTTTTTTCGGAAAACAGCAAAATTTTAATAATCAATTTTGATAATAAGTGACAAGCGTTGACACTTTGTTTATCTTTACTAACATAAATAGAAATCTGTATGTGTGTTAGAATCTTGTTCGAGTCAATAAGTAAGTAACATGTTGATTAATGGATGAAAATTTTCTCTTTCGAAGATATTATCCTAACTGATACTTGTCGCAGCTTCGCATGGGATGAGGTGAGACAGCAACAAAATCGTCCCATGGGACACTTTCTTAAAGAGTTGTATCCAATAGGATGGAATTTTCCCATCCTAAGCTGAGTCCTAATAGTCATAGTTTGAGTTGATATTAAGCCAACATGGACACATGGGTAACATTGGAGTGTCTAAAATTGTTGGTCTCCATGGGTATTTAGAGCCAAGTTGTAATTGTTCTGTTGAATTTCTGATTCATTTTGATATATTTAGTGAAAAAATAAGTAACGTAATTTTGACATGAAATTTCGCTTTTAGATAGGTCTATTAGATCTATTACGGAATATCCTGAAAGTTTCAGTCCAAGAAAATATCTTTTTTTTCGTCGAAATATGAAATTTTCGAATAAACTTGACTTTTATATTATGTCTTGTAGTCAACGATTATTTTTGAGACAATAAATATCTCAAAAACAAGAAAACTGTTTTTGTTACAACTTTTAGACTTTTATTATCTTCGCCAAGACATTCTCGTAGGTTCAATAAGAACTCAAACGGCGAGTACCAGTTCGGATGGTTCTTTGTTTAATAAAATAGCGTCTTAATATAGAAAAAATCAATTATTACCAAAGTATTCTTCAGTATTCATCGGCATTATTGATGATACTTGAGATTACATTTATGTCACTTCTCATATTCAGTACATTTCTTTGTGAGACTATCGCTCTTAGCTTTTACTCAATTATATCACACATTAACGTCTACTACAATCTATACCGAACAAGAATAAGATTTCATTGTTTCGTCAAGATATTCTTATAGAATAAAAATAAAATAACTTACTGAGTAAATGAACTTCTAATGGATCCAACATACCCTTACGGGTAACAATAATTTGTTTTGGTTGTTCTTCAATCGGTAATGAACGAATTAAAGCTACAACTTTTTCAGCTGTTTTCCATTTAGCTAATTGTCCTAAACGTTTTTGTCCAGTCCAAACGGATGGATGAATAATTTTTAAAAATAATTGTCCTGTACGCGGATTAAAAATAAATATAGCACCTTTTTATTGGTTTCCTTGCTAAATTTCCTTCATAAGTTTTATGTATTGTAACACGATAAACATTTGTATCATCAACAAACCAAATAATTTGATTTGAAAATAATTCACCATAATTTTACGATGATAAATATGGTTCTGTTGGTTCAGATGAATATAATTGTAAACTTTTACGTATACGTTCACGTAAAACATATAAAGCTGGATTTACTTTCATTATTTTAGCCATAGCTTGTTGTATTAGTGTTTTACAACCAGGAAACCAATTTCCAAATGCACTGTATAAATTATAAGTTAAATCAATAGCAATTATAACACCAGTTGGTGATGGATAAATCGACATATTATCTGTTGTATAATCAAAAAATTTTGCACGACTATAACGTTCAATATCATGTGAATCATAATCACCCCAACGTAATTGAATATCAAGCCAATATTTTTGAGATGTTCACGATCATCTATAAAAGACGTTCAGATAACTAAGTATGAATATTTCTCTTTTTTCACACAAGTTTCACAAAGATTAATTTCGTTTACAGAGCATTTTTTAAATAGGAGGAAATCAACTAAATGATGTCCCATTCGCAGGTAGTTATTTTGAAGAGAAATCATGAGTTTCAAGTGTTATCAGTATGAAACTTCGTTTTTTGTTTTGACTATTTTCTGTTCATTAACACAAAATGTATTTAAATAAGGAAAAAACTAGCAATATATTAGATTGTTTGTTTGTTGTTAATGAAAATGTGTGTTCTCATGAGATTTCTATTGTTGATATAGTTATTCAATAAATAAAAAAGAAGCAGTGCATTTAAACAAATAGGCTTTTCCATGTGCTTTTTTTTTGTTTATACTGGACGTTAGAGTCTGTCAGAATTGATCTTGAACATGGATCTAGTGTCCGACATGGGCCATATTTTTGTAACCCAATCTGAGTAAGACTCTGATATCCACTACTTTTCTTTTGCTCTTAAGAAATTTTTTAATCCCTTTCTCTTCCTTGCATCTCGTATTTGTTAATAAAGATTATGTCCTTGACCTCTTTTGTTATGTATACAACCTGTGACTTTAATATTACCATTGAAAAGATAGTGCACTCATTATGCATTGTTGTCCAATGTCAATAAAAAGTTGTTGACGTAGAAGAAAAATTCCTGTGATACATAATGTCTTATTCTAATAGACTTTACTTTACTCTTCTATATAGAAAATTTCAATAAAAAAAACATATTCAAAATACCTCTTATATTTGCAAACTGTTCACACTGCATATCTATTCGAAAATCCAAAATTTTTTTCGTATTCCGAGCCGAGTAGAATCGGACACTGCCTAGATTCTGTATTCGGAATCAACCCGACAGGCTCCATTAGACATCCAGGGGGCAGATAGGAAAATCAAAAAATGAAATTTTTACCTGAACATCATTTATGGACAACTCCGTGTATTATCCGTAACATCTTTTGAATCAACTAATAAGGATGATTTACTTATATTCCATTTACATGCACCAAATAGAAGAACATCTAAACGAAATGAAAAAGTTGAAAAAATAGAAAAGAAAACAAAAAAAATAGAAGTTCAACCTGCACATGATGAATTCATTTTATATGATTTTCTTGGATGAATCGTTTCTTTTTTTACAGTTTCAATATCTAATGCATTTAATTGTTGATCAAATACTTGACTAAAAAAAAACGAGAGACAAAATATAATTTCTATTATTTTAATTCAAATTAAACTCTTTACCAAAGATCCATAACAACACTTTCGTGAATTTTTTGCCATAAATGTGCACGAAATATTTGAATTAATGATATTTTTAACGTTGGAATTTTTCCATGCATAAATATTCCTGTTAAATCAAGTTGAACTTGAAAGCCAACATAAACATTAGCACGATTTATTGTTAGACCCCGTCACAATGTAAAACGACGATTTGAAATTTGATTTAAACCTGAACGTTGAGCAATAGTTAAGTTTTTCCAACACATTGATTCTTCAAAACCATAGTTATTCAAATTCCATAATTTTTCATCATGTCTAAAAATTAGAAAACAAATAAAGTCATATCAATTGATCCTAAAAAATATACATACTATTGATGTGTCCACCAAAATGGATTCTGTTTGAGAATCTAAAACATAATGAATACTTTATTTAATTAATCAAATACAAAATTCATTTTTCGATATCTTTAAAATTATTCTTGAAAATCTTCGACTTCTATGTAATCTAATGGAGTAAATAGAAATAAGTACCAAAAGGCAAAACCCCTCTGTTAGAGCTTCTTGATGAAGCTCAAAGTCTTCTAGTGATGTTGAGTTCCCTTTATCTAGAGATATACACGATTAGCTTTCTATGTATTCCGACTGAGAAAAATTCTCTTACCCTTACCTTACATATTTCTAGTTTTTTTTTCTTCTCTAACTAAATCTTAAGTAAATGTTAACAGATAAATGCTTTTTAATCACTTTAGTTTGACAGACGTTTCGAAATAATTCATTCCAAAATGTTCAACATGAAATTGATCTAATTCGGTATAAAAGATAAACGATTTTTTAGAATCATAGACAACTGTATTCAAAAAAAAAAATAATAAGAATGTAGAATATTTCTTTCCAAATAATATCGATACTGTTTGAATTGAAAAAAAAATTAAATTCTTACCTGATATTGTTTAAAATCAATTCGTACATGCCAACCTTTATCATAAGCAAGTACATGTCGATCTTTTTGAAATAATGTATTAATACGTGGAATTCCTCTATCCCAAGAATCATCAAGATCATCTAATGTTAAACGTTTATTTAATGTATTAGCTTCTTGTCATTTAAGTGCATATTCAGCTCAAACACGTTGTAAATCAATGAATTCGGCTTCCCATGGCATAATATAACGATATAAATTAGGTATAAGTTGATCTTCATCATGACTCATACCAGAACGAAAATGTGTTATGCTAGTATCAGTTTGTTTTGACCATCGAAGATCTGATTGTGGTATTAAAACATGTCCCATTGATAACATACCTAAACCATCTAATTCTTTTAGTGTATAAAAAACTACAGGTGGAAAACGTGAAGGCATTTTTGAGTTTAAACCAATTTTAATACGTGTTTGAATTTTATTTTCACATTTAACAGGTAAATCTAATTATTTTTTGTGTATTAATAACAGTTTCACGAAAATAAGTCATTAAACCAATTAATGCTGTATTCCATTTAGTAACTATTTTCGAAAATGTCGTTGAACCAGATGATATTAAAATTTGTCTTATACGGTTATGAAAACGATCTATTGATTGATCATCAACACGTAAAAAAACAAGATGCTGTACGTTCTTTTGTTATTTCATTTTGTAAATTCCAAAATACCATCTTTATGTATAAATTCTTCATCTATCATACGTATTTTAGGTAATATACGACATTCAAAACCACACATATTAAATAATAAATTAGGATTATCTTTTGAATAAACAGAAACAAAACTTGTTTCCCATAAAATTGTTGTCAAAGAACGTGGTAAACGATGTTTTTGAATATCCCAAAAAACAGCACGACCTAAATTAACATCATATTTCATTAAACGCATACGTGATTCACGTGACCAACATTTTTTATTATTATAACCAACGATATTTTTATTATTTGGATCAGGATGTTTAGTTAAATAACGTTGTATTAAATTACGAGATTCATCAGTTGTATATCGACAATAGAGACGTATTGGATGTGCCGTTTCAATAGTAACTTCTTGATAAGTTAAAAATTCATTTGGTTTTTGAGGTAAACCAAGTATATCGAATGCACGTTGTAAACCTAATATTAATAAATCAATAATAAGACCATAATATTGTACAATAAATGAAGAAAACTGTAAACCACGTATAATATCATATGAATTAACATGATTCATATCTTTATAAGTAAGAACAATATTATTTTTTGCTGTCATATAATCAACTATATTATGATCAACAATGAGATGAAGTAAATGATTTAATAATGTAAGATCAATATTTTCATAGAATTTTTCAAAATGATATTCAATCATAACATTACATTCACCTTCATTTGTATTCTAAATATCTTGAAGATTGTTAATACCTATATTGAAAAACATTAATTATCAATACATATAATATTGAAAAAAAAACATAAATATCTTACCTTGTCACCATTTATAAAGAAGTAAAGGTAGTGGTTCACTATCAGCTGGTTTAATCCATACTGGAAAAAGTCTATGTTTATCAGCTTCATACCATAAATATTGATTTAAATAAGCATCCGTTATTTTTTCTAATGGTTCAACATCATAAACCGATATTAAATGATAATATAAATCCATAAATTCAATTTTACATTCTTTAAATGCACGTTGTATTAATTGTAAACCATCAGCTAATTGAAATGCATCAATATTACCTAAACGATATTGTACATGACAATCAACAATTAATTTAGTTAAACGTAATATTTCACGACATAAATGAAATGCATTTCCAAAACGTGATTTTTTACGTTCTTTTGTTGTTAATATTTCAATTGGTTTTAAATTAAAATTATAATCCAAATGAAGATAATTTAAATTTTTACGATTTATTAATAAATTTAACATATTATAACCTTGACGATAAACTTGTAAATCAACTTCTAACCAATCTAATGTTGTTGATTTAAATGAACGAAATAAATAACGTTTTTACGATGATGTAATGCATTTAAAACAAAATATTTTAATAATTTTTGATATGATACACGAACTTTAACTGGATGATCAATTGAACAATGTTCACGATACCATGTTTTAATTAATGGAATATCAATTGCACGTCGTGTTCGACCAGAACGAAGATTAAATGGACGTGATACCCATAATAATGTTATACCATTTGTTGTATTATCTGTATATAATGGTTGAAATTTTTCAGGTAAAATAAATTCATTGTTATCATCAATTTGTACATTAATGCATTTTATTATATGATGTTGTGTAATTGGATTTAGTAATGGATCAAAATAAAAAGCTGGTAAATCCGGATCTTCAGTTTTCATAAATACAACATTTGGTATATGATACCATGAAAGATATAGTTTATATGGAGAGCTATTATATAAATATGGAAATGCAATACGATATTCTGTACGTATTGGCTGATGTATTATTATTTTATTTATATCATTAAATTCATTCCAATCTTCATTACTAAAAAGAAAAAAAATAGAAAATATTTTTAAAAATAATAAAAAAAAAAAAAAAATATTTACTTTGAATTAATTTTTTTAACAAGTGGTTCAAATTTAGGATCACCAGGTATAGCAACATTAAGTGATTTGGCAGTAAAAAATGATTTTAAATCAAATAAATAAAAATAATTATCATCAACAAAATCAGCTAATAATTGATTAGCCATACGATAAAGTGTTGAAAGAATTGGTAATGTTAATTGCCATCGACGATATGTTGAATCATTTATCATTCTTAAAATAGATAAATGATATTAAAACCAAAATATATTATGTATTTTCAGACCATACTCTATTGGGAAACAAAGCAGAGTCATTTGTTTCTCTTAAACTTTTCTTGTCTTTTACAATTCTTCCTGGAAATTTTTAATCCTCCGGGTAGAACAGATTGCATATGTAAAAACAAAATTGTGTTGACAATTTTCTTCTGAGAAAATTAGTTATTTTCTCCCAATGAGAAACTAAATTAGGTCATATGTTGAAGAATAATAGATAGAAAAAAGAAAGATGATAAGACAAACATGAAAAATATGGTTTCATCTCAAGATTTGGACAGCTACTTTAGATGTCCTTATGCCGAACATGTTTCGACCAGGTAGCTTATTAGTTATACAATGATTAACCTTACTACCAATAATAAAATGCTTGCGAAGTATATTTTCGGATATATGCTGTCATGCGAGGTCAACCGGAAAAAAAGATTAGTTTCTTAGAAGATTTTTTTCGCCTCTAGAACTCATTGCGATGATCATTTTCATAAAAAAAAAATATTCAAATTTTCTGAATAAATCATCGTGTTAGGTTGAAAATACTCAAAAACTTCAACTATTCTTCACTGCTACTGATCGGCAGTTGGTATTTTTGAGTATTTTGAGCCGCGCAATATGATTTATTAAGTAAATTTGAAGATTTCTTATTACTGAAACGTATTGTACAAAGTTTTACAGATGAAAAACAAATCTTCTAAGAAATTGGAATATTTTCAGATTTATTATCCATAAAAGTAACCATTTGAAAATATGATTCATCAGCATAATATGATTAGTAGTAACTTAAAATATATTAATTTCCAATAGTTTCTACCAAATATTGATAGTTTCATTCTTTCAGATATGAGACGTAGAAGACATTTGTAGGATACTATGGGATGGTGACCTGACAATCATTTAGGTAAAGAAATAAAGCTTTAAATAAGTTCATTTTGTTTCTTTCCCCTAATAATGAAAGATATGGTTGAAGAGAAAAACATGCATATACAAACTCAATCAACTGAGAATATATTTTTCTAAACAATAAACTTACGAATGAATAGATTCTCAGAAATTTCAAGAGACTTTCTCTCTATTCTATGTTAATATATATATAATATTATTTACAGCATTGAAGAATAAAATATAGTTTCCTATCACTGAATTACCTTATGAATAAATGTATGAAAACATAAGTAATTAATGTTAATGCTCTGTACTATTTTTCTTTATCCATCAACCAAGACTAGAAAAAAAAAGATCTATTACGACTTAAGAAAAAAAACTTTTTCCTATATGGATGAAATTATTGAAGTTTTTCGAAAAGCTATAACTTACTTTGTATCTATTAATGGTTTATGATTATAAAACCATTCATAAATATGCTGATCTTCTTCTGGATCTAATGGTTCAATATCAAGAGTATTATCAACGCATACGTTTAAAATGTCTTCGATCACGTTTTTCACGTCTCGTCATAATTCACATTGTACAATAAAAATTGGTTCAATAATCCATGGAATCTCATTAACAAATGTAATTATACCTTTTATATGATAAATAACTTTAACATAACGCATTTGTTCCTATGGCATAGGGAGTAATTTAAGTATAGCATGTGGCATATATTTTAAAGCATCCAAACAAATACGTTTATCATGATGAAATTTTTTATTTGTCATATTACCACGATCACGAATAATTTTTCGTATATGTTCAGGTGGTAAATCTTCTTTGTCTATATCTGTAAAATCAAAACATCGTTTATCACTATAACGTTTTGTTTGTAATTGTTGCTTGTTGAACTGAAAGAAATTGTGTTGATATACCAATGTTAAAGATCTGAAAATAAAATCATTATATAATTATATATTCATATACTTGATGTTTTACGACAAATACAGAGGTATATATTCTAACTGATATTTTCTAAGAAAACAAAGTGTTGTTTTTTTAAGTTTTACTAAATGATAGAGAAATCATGAGGATGACACTTGAAAAATTCTTCTCCCTTCAGAAAATATTAGTTACAATGTATCTGTGTATATCATGAAATGTCAACTGTATGAACAGCTCGAACTATAATGTACTTATATGTTATTAAGAAAGACTGATTCGTTGCTTTATCTCAACAGATAAAAAAGAAATATTTAATATTTAACCATTTTTTTGTCTTTATCATTAATTTCCTCTACGAAAAAAAAAAAAAATAAGTTTGAATTTTCTTTGCTGACATCTATCATTCATATTTTAACAAATTAAATTTTCAAAATTAAAAATTAATTCTTTTAAAAGAATTATTTTTTGTTTTTAACTTAATTGGTTTTTTCTTTAGAATAGAATTGTTTTTTTTCTTCAAAATTCTAATTGGTTAAGTAGTTTCACGCCTATGTACATAGTGTAGTAAAAGAAAAGAATTCTTCTGAAAACTTAATCATCTGTAACGTTTCATCTTCTTCGATTCGTTTTCTTTTTTTTTTTGGTGATCACGATTCCGTCGTTCCATATTGTAACTTTGAAGAATACGAAATATTTTCTGTATATTTATATATTATTATATATGTGTTGTTCGATTCAAGACTATTCGTTTATTCGTCATCATCCTTTTACCTATTAATATTATTGTATTGAAAACGACAAGATAAATTATCAACAGAGAGGATGCACCAATATTCAAGTGTTGATATTGTATCTTTGGATGGTCAACAATTTAAAAGTGAAAAAGTAACAATAAATTTTTTATTAATAACAGAAAATAATGAACCAAAAAAATATGCGATAATAGTTAAAGATGGTGAGGTGTTACGAGTTTTATATCTGTATTGAAAAAAAAAAGGAAGATGTTTGTTTTTGTTTTAGGTATATCAACTATATTAACAATTACTTTAGATGATTTATTTGAAAATTTTCGTTGTGGTGTAAACGGTATTGTTCTTACACTACCAAAGCAAAAATATCGTTCATATTTATTCAAATTTCTTAATCAAGAAGGTAAATTAAGTTTTCCGAAAAAAAAGGTCAATTACCTTCGAATAGAAAAACAGTGGAAAATTTTCTCCTATTTCTAATTTTGTACATCAATATATGAGAAACAATAAAAACAGTTACATGGCATTTATTGAATCTCCATCAATATAATTAATACTGACATGTGTGTTTATTTAGTAATAACAGAAATTTAATCTGTTCTGTTAATTCTCATTCTGAACATGATTAACTAATCCTTGTAAATATAAATATTAAGACATAATAGTACATTAAAAGTATTCAAGAAAAAGTACAGAAAAACAAAAAGTAACTGCATCAAAAAGATTATTTAACTAATCTCTATTATTTTTTTGTTTTGAATAAGTTAAATTTATTTTTACCATTGATGATGGAATGATCAAAGCTTGTATAAAGAAAAAAAAATGCTCACATATGATCATTGACTTCAATAGACAAAGAAATTAATACTTTGATTCTTCAATTTTACATCAAACATAACTTATAATACTAACTCAATGTGTTAAATAAATTCGCTCTTTTATTGAAAGATTGCGATCATATTTAGTTTTCTTTTTGGTAAAATAATATGAAAATTACTCTGTATGTGATCATTGATCAATTAGGAATTTCTCACTACTTTAATACAACTTTTTAATTTTAAAATATTTATATTTTTTTTTTCTATCGTTCTCATATTAGATGTAATCAACTTCAATAAACTTCTTTTGTCAATAAAAACCGGTAAGAGTATTGAAGAGAGTGCGTCATGTCAATTCGATGAACGTACCGAAGAATCGTCAGCAGTACAATATTTTCAAGTATTTATTAAAATATTGATCTTTTATTATACATACGTATGTTTAATTAGTTCTATGGTTATTTATCACAACAACAAAATATGATGCAAGACTATATACGTACATCAACTTATCAACGAGCTATTCTTGATAATACAGTTGATTTTGCTGGAAAAGTTAGTTCATTTTATTGTTTATATTAAAAAAATTATTCATTTCATTCTTCGTTTTGTTGTTGTTGTTGTTGTTTAGGTTGTACTTGATGTTGGTGCCGGTTCGGGTATTCTTTCTTTTTTTGCTGCTCAAGCAGGTGCACGTAAAGTCTATGCTGTTGAAGCAAGTTCTATGGCTCAACATGCTAAAGTAAAAAGAAAACAAAAACAAACATTTTCATTCATATAAAAATAAATTCAATTGTAAAACAATTTTTTTTTCTTAGACTCTTGTTGAAAATAATCATTTAAATAATATTATACAAGTAATTGCTGGTAAAATCGAAGAAATTACATTACCAGAACAAGTCGATGTTATTGTATCTGAACCAATGGGTTATATGTTATATAATGAACGTATGTTAGAAACATATTTACATGCAAAAAAATGGCTTAAACCAAATGGTAAAATGTATCCAACAACAGGTGATCTTTATGTAACACCATTTACAGATGAAGCTTTATATATGGAACAAGTTGGTAAAGCGAATTTTTGGTATCAACAATCATTTTATGGTGTTGATTTAACAACATTACGTGATTTAGCATTAGATGAATATTTTAAACAACCAATTGTTGATAATTTTGATATAAGAATTTGTTTAGCACGACCAATTAAATATTCAGTTAATTTTTTAACAGCAAATGAAGAAGATTTACATGAAATAAATATTCCATTATCATTTCAAATGACAACAACAGCTGTTATACATGGTTTAGCATTTTGGTTTGATGTTTCATTTAATGGAACAAGGTTTTATTTTAAAAACAAAATATATACAATAAATTAAGGATTTTATACAATTTTTTTTTTTTTTTTATTTTGTAGTTCACAAGTATGGTTATCAACTGCACCTACACAACCTTTAACACATTGGTATCAAGTTCGATGTTTATTTATGAAACCACTTACAGTTAATATAGGAACAATTATTAAAGGTCATGCTATATTAAAATCAAATAGAAAGTAAAATTTATTTCAAATTCTTTTTTTTTTGTTTTTCTTTTTGTATATTAAAACATGATTCTCTTATGTAGACAAAGTTATGATGTTGAAATATTTCTTCAAATTGATGGCACAACAATATCAGCTAAAAATATACTTGACCTAAAAAATCCATATTTTAGGTTTGATATTGTTTAATTATTTGGAAATGTTTTTTTTCTATAGAGTTTTTCTTTATTTAGATATCCAAATCAACCGATGCAAGTACCACCTGGACAATATCATGAATCACCAACTGAACAATATTGGAATGGAGTACAAAATGATCAAATGGCAATAACTACTGGAACAATGCATTCAAATACAAATCTATTTGCTCAAAGCTGCAATATCAATAATAATATGAACGCAAGTGGCGACTATGATGGTATTAGAATGAATATTGATGGGGGATGGCTTTGAGAAATTCTTGCTAACGGTTTTTATCATTCGAGTTATTGTTTTTTTTGTTCTTTTTTTTTCTCAAATCTTCGTTAAACTTTCCAATATATCGTCATACGCATTTCTTAATACTGTTACGATATATACGTGTGTGAAAAAAAAAAATTTTTTTTTTTTTCTTACACACATTTCAATTTTTTTCCATGTATTATGTTGAATTCTGTGAGAAAGCGAAACAAATAATTTAATATGTCTATTAGAATATATATATCCGAAAAGAAAAGAAAAGAGCAAAACTTATAAAGAAATGCATTCAGTTACAATTTACTATTCATATTTCTTCTTATATTTTATTATGAGAACAAAAAAAAATCTATAATTCTTTCTTGTTCTACGTTACACAGGAAGTTCATTGAACAATATTGCTACAAGTTTTCCAACAGATAATACTCATCATTTTACTTTATCATGTGCCTCTTCGTCTAATCATTCCGATAAATCAACTACATTTCCTTCAACAACTACTGTAAGTATTAAATTATTTATATCTATTTAGATTTATATTTAACAAAAGCAAAATCTATTCTATATATCTATATATAGCAAATGGCGAATGGATTTATTTCGTTTGCTAATACAACAGATGCAAATATTTTTACACAACATAATATTACAAAAACATAATGCGGAAAAAAAACCAAAATATTTTATTTAATTGATTATGGAACAAAAAATTATTCTCTGTATTCTTTTCTTATTGTTGTGTTTATTTGTTGTATCTCAGGAGGACGTAAACGTATGTACGTGTGTATTTCTTTTTGTTGTTCCAAAAAACAAAAAAAAAAAACAAACAAAATTAAAAACATAGAATCAAGATAGTTAAATCCTTCATTTCTTATTGGTTTTTTTTCGCCTTATAGATAAATAATGTCATCAGTATTAATTATATCTAAATTTGAAGACTTAAGTGATGATATATTAATGGATGTATTTGATTTACTTGATCCAGCTGTTTATATATATCATTCATTTTTTAATTTAAATCAACGTTTAAATCGAATAATAAATGATTCACGTTTATTAATTTCACTTGATTTAAGTCATTTAATAAATCCATCTAATTTTGCTTATCATTGTCAAATAATGTTACCTAATATGTCGAAACAATTAATATCATTACGTTTATCAAATGAACATAAATTATATGAACAAATAAAAATATTTCTTTTAAATATACGTTTAGGAAATTTTCATGCTTTACGTCAATTATCTCTTATACAAATAACATTTGATCAATTAAGACGAATGCTTGCTGATATTTTATCTTTAAATAAACTTATACGACTTGATATTGATATGTTTGATGGATCTGGAACTAGTCTTAATGAACTTAATCTTATAGCAAATACATTATTAAGTAAATCAAATTCAATTAAAGTAAGATTTTTATAATTAGAAGTTTATTATTCGAAAGAAAGAAAATATTTTATTTTTTTCATTAATAAAATTAATCTAGACTACAGATGTGTGAAGTTAAGGTTTTTTTTTTTGATTTCGGTCTCGGCCATGTCTTTTCTAATCGTATCACATTTAAGACAATTCAACTATAATCGTTTTTTGATTTATTTAATCGACGACTAGTAGCTTTTGGGATCATTTCTCTTGAATTATGTTCTAATGGTTATGATTTAATAGATAATTTGCTCGAAACTATAGAATATTAAATTAGAATTTTTAGTTCCGATCGTGACAATGGTTTCTCATAGTTCTAGGTCCCATCACGACAACTTTTTTTGTTGTTAGAGTCCAGGTAGTGATGACTGATACTAACAATGGTTCTCTACATCTATAATCTAGTCCTTTTTTGATGGAATTTGTTGCTTATAAAGGTGAAATGATGAATACACTTGTACGTTTTAATTATACACGATTTTGATTGAGTTCTTTGATAAATAAAAATTGAATGTCTGTTCTAAACAATTGAAATAATGTTTTTATTAGTTAGTTCTCTAGTATGGTTTTATTTTGTAAAGACAAAATTTATCAACAGTATAAAAAACGTAGCACTTTCGATTACAACTTAAAGTTTAGTTTTTTTTTTATATAGTAACTTGAATTTCTGTCGTTATTGTCGACATCACGCCATGCAGATCTTTGATTATTTCTTTTTTAATCATTTATTTGACATATTTTAAAACGATCGACTCATTGATAAATTTCTTCACAGCAAGTCATTTGTAGCTCTTCGAATACTTCAATAACTGTAGAAACGAATGCGTTAGACTATTTTATAATTCATTCTAACATTACAATCGACTCTTTTGCTTTCTTTTCGAAACGATATATCAAAACAAATGTGCAGAAAGTTATAGCAAAAGATTACAATGGTCATAAGTCCATAATAAACATATAAATTCGATTAGATATTGAAAACAAAAAGCAGTACATATTGTGGGTAGCATCGAAAAAAACCTACTTTTTAATCAGAAGCAGAAAATGTTACATTTTTCACTTTACGAATCAAAAATTGCTAATTTAGTATTACAAATAAAAAACCAAAATGTTTGAACAGATCTTAATCAATATAACCAACTTATCTGTACTTATTAAATTAGTCATAACTTGAAGGACATTCTATAGATTCATTGAATAAATTTGAAATAAAATCTCTCATGTTAGTTTTACATTGATACTGAAAATAAAATTTAATATGATGAATATTGATTTTTGTACGAAATGTTTTATTTGTTTACTTTAGTCTTTATCTCTTCGTTTCAATCGTGAATTTATAATATCTGAAACTGCTTCATCCTCATTAAATCATCTGACTATTGATGCTTGTTTTACATCTGATATACCACAATTATTATCTCTTTGTTCATATCTTCATTCATTAACTATTAAAGTTGAACAATCACGTCGTCGATATCCTCTTCTTAATATAATCAATTCTGATCACCAACTTCAACGACATAATTTATCATCAATAATTTGTTCTTATTTAACATATTTTTCAATTGATTTAAATGATTTAACATTATCTGATGTAAAATTAATTCTTTCAACAATGCCATATTTATGTCATTTTCGTATTGAAGGTCTTACATATGATATAGATTTTTCTCGAGGTGATTTATGGCAAAAGATATTTGAAAATGAAACTAAAAAAATAAAACGATTCGATATAACTGGTTTACGTATATGGTTAGGTAATAATGCTGATGATGATGATGATAATCTTAATTTAATTAATCAAATAATTCATTCATTTGGTTCAAAAGATAAATATTGGGGAAAATATTGGTCTGTATATCAAACACATAAACTTCGACCAAATCATCTTAATTTAACATTACATGCTAAAATTCTCTAATTGATACAGATAGATTTTGTTTATATTGATCATAGTAACAGTCAGATGATTTTTGTCTTTTTTTTTTAAATTTATTTATTTTATTTTTTATTTTTTATTTTTTGTCGTTTTTGCTATGATATTTGTGTTGATTTTGTTTTCTTGTTTGTTATTGAAGAAAAAAAAAAAAAGAAGAAGAAGAAGAGGATGTAAAGATTTTATTGATAATTATTTCATCTTTGTTTTTTTTGTTCTTTTACTTCGTATTTATTTAAAGATGTTACAATCAGATAAAGCCACATCATCATCTCCATTATGGTCCATTGATCGAAAAATAACTCGTCAAATAACTTCACATGAAAATGCTACTTCCATTTCTTCTTCACCTTTATTATCTTCTCCTGTATGGGATTCAACACCAATTGGTAAAACAATTTATCTTCGTTTATGTCAACGTGAACAATTATCACCACAATTAATACTTGAAGATAAAGTATTTCGTTCTGCAATACGTTTACAACATGGTTCAACATATCGTACACAATTACAATTTGTTGGTACATTAATTATTGATGATGAAACACAACGTTTAACGTATGTTATTGATCGTTTACAATTATCGGATTCAACAACAAATGAAATTAATAATCATCATTCATTATTACCTAATAAACAATTAAATGGAGAATTTCTTATACCAATTCGATGTGATAATAAAAACTCAACAACCACAAATACAGCTAGTAGTTTGATACAAGAAGGAATGAAGGTATAGAATATTCGTTTCAAATTAAAATAAGAGAATAAGAATAGATGAAGATTAATTGTTTGAGATCATGCTCTTCTTTTTTGAGATACTTAGACTATGTTGTAGAATTATTATTAACAATAACTTGTCGTTAAGATAAGTATCGAAACGTATTGATTATTAAAAAACCTACACAAAATAACTTTGCGTCAGTTTTCAATGCTTTAATTTCACTATTTCAAAGATTTTAGAAGATTATTTTAAAAAAAATACTTTTTACTAACTGCTTAATGAAAGTTTTAGCGTATAGTACAGTGGATTCTAACAAATCGATTGGTGATATTTCGATTCGAAAATCTGCCTACAGATCGATCGTCTTGTAATGAGAATGTTCTGAAGGTTTCCATTCAAAAAATTTTTCTCCATGAACTACTGCATTTCCAAAAAATCATTCATATTTCACAAAAGATGCAAGAATATCATGGGTTTTGTTTTTTTACATTTTATATTTCTCAAAGAAAATATTCGTTAGAGTTGGAATTTTCAGAGCATTTTAGATGAAAGTATATCTGTCTGACGACATTTATCCTTATGAGTTTTTTCATATCTTAGTAGGGTACATCTTACGCGTAGAGTCTGTTAAAGAAACTTATGAGAAAATATTTGACGTGCGCTATATAAGAAAATTTTCATTAGTTCATCGGTTGATAAATTATAGTAGAAATAACTACGTTGATTTTGATGAAAAATGTTTGTTTTTTTTTCATTTATGTGCAGATAATTGATACTTATTGTCGTTCATCTTTACCAATTGAATTACATCAATTTTCATTTCTTCATGGTCAAATGTTATCACGTTTATCACCATCAATAAATGCTGATCTATCATTTGATCTTTTGACAATAAAAAATAGTTTTAAATTAACACCAATTAATTCTGAATATGTTCAAATATTACCAACAGCTTTATTAAAAAATTTAAGTTCATCAACAGGCAATGGTGTTTATATAAATCAACCACATTTTGGTTATTGTGGTTTAGATCGAATGTCAAAAAATAAAATTTTATTAATACTTGAAAATGATCCACAAGCATGTGCATTACCATTAGTTGGAATGTAAGGATTCTAAATTGAAAAAAAACATGACATTAATATGATTCTCTCCATTTATATTTTTCTTTGCTTATTTTTTCTTTTAGTTGGGTATCTGGTATTGTTGATGTTCAATGTGCATTTGTTTGGGCAGCATGTCTTCGTTATTGTATGAATTCATCTCTTAAACAACGTCTACGTACTGGAATAAATACAAATAATACAACACAACAATCATTTTTACTTGCTTGTTATTTATCGACATCACGTGGTCAATGTGATTTTTATGAAGTTAATTCAATGACAACAAATTCAACATCATCATCATCATCATCATTTATTATTGATTATGATTTATGGACATGTTCAAAAAAAATAATTATGCCAAATCCTCCAACATCACATTCACATGATACAAATGTTAGTACACAATTACCATATGATTTTGAATTTAAACATGTTTATGATGGACCAAAAATGCATGCTTTATTAGGAGCACATACAGGAAATTTTACTCTTCCTAATCAATATCAAAAAATTCGATCAACAAACAATAATCAATTACCAGCAGATATATCTTTTCTTACGGCAGAAATACCTTCAGATGATGATAATGATGATGATGATGATGATCATAACAATCATCATCAACAGATTGAACGTATACAACAAGAACATCATCATCAAACAACACTTACATCACCTAATACAAATGGAAGTTTATTTGGTGTTCCTCGTTTACCACCAAAACAATCAATACATCAATCACCGTCATGGAATTCGATGTCAACTACGAATATGACAACACCTAAATGGACTGCATCTGTACCTACAGTTGTACCATCATTAACCGTTCCACAACCACCGCCTCCACCACCACCACCACCAATAAGATTTTCATCTCCAGCCCCATCAACGATTGCACCATCACCTGTGACCAATGATGCTCAATGGAAAGAAGAAATGCTTGAAAAAATGCAAGCATATGATGCTCATATTCAATCATTAAATGCACTTATTGCTCAACTTTTAGCTGCTCAGCAGCAACAACAACAACAACAACAACAAAGTTTAATGTCAACACCAGCAAGAGAACCTATAAAATGTGACGTAGCTGTTCAAAGTGAACCACCATCACCTTGTACAAGTGATGATATTGGTGAATCAGCATCAATGATAAAAAGTAATCGAAATAGTTCACCATCATCATCACCAAAAATTGAACAAATTCAACATTATCAACAACAAACACCAATAATGACTACAACAACAAGAGTGAGTTTAATTACATTTATTTTTAATATAAATATTTGATTTATTTATTTTTTTTGTTTTAGACACCTTGTCCTACAGCTCAATTTCAAACATTACTTCCACTTCCTCCTCCTTCTTCTCTTCCTCCACCATCAGTTGTTCGTCAACCAGAACCAATTATTGATTATGTATCTCTTCGAAAATCAACAGATTGTGAACGACTTATTGTTGAAAATCCTTCTGTACCATGTCATCATACACCTGTTCGATCAATATCACCTCCAATTTCATCAGCACCAACTGATCTAAATCCAGTTGATATTCTCAAACCATTTTTTCAATTTATGGCCAGTCAACAACAAAAACAACAACAAGAACAAGAACAAGAATATCAACGATGTACATCTCCATTAACGACAACATCTAAATCATTTGATACAGCAATAATGAAAAAAATTGATGAAGAAAGTGGTCGTCAAGCAGACAAAATGTCTCATTTAGCTAATGTTATCCAACAACAACAACAACAGCAACATGTTACATCAACAACAACAACAGGTATTAGTTTTATTTCCAATGGTCTTCAAATGCAAATTATTAATCAACAAAGTAGTACGACAACTGTTTATCCACCAGTACCTCCATCTCTTCCTCCTCCTCCTCCACCTACTTCTATACCTTCAACATCTCAAAATGATGCTCTTATTTCATCATCAAATCAACCATCAGAAAATGATCTATCAATTGAAGTTCGTAGTTTACAAATGAAATATCTTGATGATGATCAATTAGCCATTGCTACTGATTATGATCGACAATCACCAACACCACCAAGTACAGTACGACAATCACCTCAAATATTTGATAAAAATATGTCATTTGCAACACAAAAATATTTTCAAAAATATAATATTCTATCAGGATATAATCGTCAACAACAACATTATTTATCATCAGATGACAATGATCTATTAACATCATCTCCACCTCATCAACGAATGCTTTTACCATTACCTCCACCATCATCACCAGCTGTATTTACACAACCACCTATTCCTCATGCTCCACAAGCTAAAATACTCGATTTGAGTCAAATACGTAAATTACCTAAATTACTTTAAATAATTAAGTATGAACATATTCAGTTAGATTAAATTCAAATCCGTCCATTAAATGTGTCCATATTATAGTTTTTCATCGGGGATATGTATTTTCATTTCTTAACATGTATTAGATTTGTGTTTCTTTTATTTCAAACAAAAATGTTGAATGAAGAAGAGTATGATTGTTCTGTTCTTTTCTTTTCTTTTCTTTTCTTTTTTTTTTTTGTATATCAATAATAATAAGAAAAAATATATAAACCTTAAGTTGATTTAGTTTCTATAGAATCTAAAAACTTGAATACATTATTGTAAATATAAAACCATTCGATATGCATCAGGTTGTTGTTTTGATGTTGCATAATAGAAATCAGACACATAGTCATCTGCTTGAAAACCAACTTTTTCATATAAACCAATGGCTTTATAATTCATTACATGTACATGTAAATAAATAAAATTATGATATGTTCGATATGCCCAGTGTATAATTTTTTTTAATAATCTTGTACCTATACCACGCTGTTGACTTGATTGGTCTACACCGAATAATGATATATAAAGACCACTTGTCCGAGGAGTACTTTTAATTAATGCACAACCAACACAACGACGTTGGGTTTCATCATATGCACAGAAGATATGGTCAGCGGTGTTAATCAGATCAAGTAGACTATCATATGAATAATCAGCATGAAAAAGAGGATAAAAAACATTAACAATGTCTTCTAATGGAAATTGACGATCGTAATATATTTGAATATTTGAAGACTTCCTTCTTAGTTTCACTTTACGTCTTGAAAAATATCTATTCATTGCAATAAGATGACTGTTTTCTGAATGATGACGAAGGTTACGAACGTATGTCAGGCTTCAATATTTCATATGAGTGAGATAGAAAAAGAGTATATGGTTGATTGGTTTTTGTTATGTGTTTTTTGCACAGGTAAATATATATTGACATTGAATAGTGTGCATGGACTCCAACAAAAGTTTTAGTCATAAAATTATCTACATTAATGTATCTAAACGAGTAATAGTCAATATTAGTACTTAAAATATGTGTTTTTATCAACAAAAAAATGATTTTATTCAAGAGATGAATCAACATCTCAATATAGTGTAACTCGAGGCCATAGCTTTCTATTATGAAAATTCACATCGTTCCTCCAAAAATGGTCCTTAGTTGCGAGCTAGTTTTGTTTTTTTTTGATAGCATTTATCTAGAAAATCAAGGATTTCTAAAACATGTTTCAACATTCAAATAAGCATTTTTTAGTAGCCAAGTACGAGAAAACTAGTTTTTTTTACTAAAAAAAAGTGATCTTAATAAGAAAACTTTTTTTTTTACTCAAAAATCAGATTTTGAAGTGCTTAAATCTAAAAAATCCTCTAAGTTTCTGACAGAAGCTTTTGAAAAATACATGATCTTCTATTATGCCATGTGAAATTTTTCTTGTGGATAGTCATTACTTCTAAAGAGGGAGGAGTATTGTATTTGCGTCTTCTTCTACATTCATATAGAGAGATTATCGAATAAACATACTTTATAGTACCAATAACAACATTGCCAACACAATAGACGGACAAATAAAGTATAATTTCCAAGAAAATATATCAAGACATTTCTTTCTATAACTATTCTATCATCGTATATTCTCAATAACAGTTTAAACTAACCATAACAAACTTTGATTGTTGTTGATGTTGTTTAGCAAAGGCTACTGTCTTGTCATGGATATGATGTACATCAAATAATCAATAAATTTCAATTATCGATGAAAGATATGTGTAAATATAAACTCTGTTATCATCAAATTGTTATTCCAAGTATAAACATTGACAAAATAATCAGTCATAAGACATAAATAAACAAAATATCCTCATTTTGCATCACATCGATCAAATTGCTCTCTGCTATTATGACACTAGCAAGAAGTAAAAGAAGTTAAATTGTACTTAGAAAACTATGACAATACTTAAAATTATTAGAATAATCATGAATATCACACATTCATTGATAGACTTCATATTGACAAAGAAGTTTAGAAAGTTGAATAAAAAAAAAAAGTATTCATTTGATAAGTATTACTATTTTAATACATATACATTTATGTCAGGCAAAATTAAACTAAGTTTGAAAGGCTTGTTATTTTAACATGATTTAAAAAAAAATAAAAGGAAACTTGTTTATTTTTGTAACTATAGAATTTGACAGAACGTAGAGTTCGTAAGTTGTATTCCATAGAAATTAAACTAAGTCTAGGAAGATATAAAGTTCTCGAGTAGTATTACATACAAATTGAACTAAGATTAGGAAGATGTATAGTTCGCGAGTTATATTCAATGCAAATTGAACTAAACTTAGGAAGATGTAGAGTTCGCAAGTTGTATTAAATGCAAATTAATCTAAGTGTAGGAAGATATAGAATGCGCGGGTTATATTCAATAGATATGAAATTAAGTTTGGGAAGATGTAGAGTTCGCTAATATATCCCACTGACATTGAGCTGATCGTAACCAGCCCGACCAAAAAAAAAAAGAAAAAAAGGATGTTCTTTATAATCAGACATCAATTCTCATCGATACCTAATTGCTTCCCTTCGAATACAGTACGGTTCATAGATAATATGCAAACTAACGAAAGACTTTAATTTATGTCTTCTCATAAAGTAATAGCAACGGTATTCATTCGGCAATTAATACTCAATAAATGAATATGTTAGTTTGTCTGTTTTTAAAAATAGTTCACTCTCAAAAGAGATACAATTTTCCCATATGAATAATAGCTTTAAGTAACAACGAAGAAAACGATTTTCAGTAGTTGCTTATTGCTAGTTTTCGGATATTGTGTTTAATGGCTATTCAATCTCGCAGAATTACTTCTACATCTTCATAGTTATTTAAATACTGATCACCTATTCCATTCACATTACTGATTTTTTTTCGAGCAGAGGGTAGTGAAGACGCTTATGGATTGCCACAAATCTGCTAGATAAGTATTTCTCTTATCCAAGGTAACGGTCATTAGTCGTTATACTTCGCTTGTATGACATCTTTCTGAACTTCTGACCTTCTTTTCTTTGTTCTCTCATGTATGACCATTTCTAGATTAGTTGAATTTAATGAAAAGAAGACGTAGTTTTGATTGTGGAAGACGACATTATGCTAAAAAGACATCGATACTTCATCCTACAATTCACCACACACAGTAGGATTTTAAGATATTAATGTAAAAATAATGCAACTAGTTATAAAGCCTTGTTAGCAATATATTTCACGTTATCGATCGTATTTTTCGTGACGTATTTTTATGATTTGTTTACAAATCTGTGGATAAAAAGGCACTGGAGACGAAGCAGAATCTGATGTTGGGTTACTTTCAAAGAGTATGAATCGGTGAGAAATAAACATACTAAGTTTATTTAATTAAAAAACTAAGTACGTTCTGTTTTCTTAATCAAAATGAAAACTTGAATCCATTTTTATATGAAAGAAAATAACTTCTTTATTTCGCTCCTAACTACAAATCAATTTTGCCTAGGTTTAGTTTTGCTTAAAGTTCAATTTTGCCTAGGACATATATCAATATATATATATGTATCATTAAATCAATTTTTATGTTAATTTTATCTTTTTGCATTTTAATATCTATGCCTCAAATGTTTTCAAGATTGTCAAACCTATATAAACTATTTATTGAGTAAAGATAACCTTAGATTTGAAGTTCTTTTGGTAGTGAAATCAGTTCATAAGATTTTAAAACAAGTCAAAGCAATAAAGTAATAAAATTCATTTTGTAGTGAACTTAGAAAAAAACAAACACATGGGTGTCTTAAAATTTACATCTAAGAAAAAGATGAAGTATTGAAGTTGTATTTATTAGTTAAGGAAAATTTATTAATCAATAGTCAGCTTATCATTTATACACTGGATAGATGATCAGCTATGTAAAGAAGTGACATCTATTAATCGATAAATATAAATGCGAATTGGTTTTTGTAAATGGTAAAATTCGATCAATGGACAAACAAAATATATTTATTTTAATATTGTTCATATACAATCAGTGTTTATTTTATTTTCTCATTTAATCACTTACATAATCAGGCAGTCTTAACAAAACTATTACAATATTTTAGTAGAGTTTTCATTGAGAATGCCGGTTTCACGAAACTATTGGTATCGTATATGGGGAGCACATAGACATGTATGTATTTATTCAGCATTCATTTATTTATATCTATATATACATCTATTATAATTTTTTATTGGATAGCCTTTTGCATTAAAAGAAGCCGATCTTTATTCACGTCGTATAGATCAACGTTTACGTACATATTTAGTAATGGAACAACATGGACCAGGCAAAAGTCATGCTCCATCACAATATGATATTTTACGCCAACCAAGATATAAAACACGTTGGATTAAAACTTGGAATGCTGATAGTCCTATAGATACTAAACGTATTTTTAATGAAGTACGTCAAAAATATAAATATGAAAATCCATATGATGAAATATCAAAATAATTATTATTCAAGTTTTCTGTATGTATTAGTGATAAAATAAAAGATTTAGTTTATGTTTCTTTTTTTTTGTTTCTATGATTCATGAATATCTTGTTCGATTATTTGTTGAATTCCATCCCATATAAGACGAATAATATTAAATTCAGTTCGTCCTAATCGTATTATATTTGATAAATTAAAAATATTATTTTCATTCGTCTTTTCGATATGAATATCTAATTTTTTACATAAATCAATTAATTGATTAAATTTTTCTGTATGTAATAATTTTATATGAATATTAACTTGTAATGCTGTACCAATATTTATTGGAGAAAAATTTAAATAACCTAAACGTTGATGTTGTTGAAATTCGAATGTTTGATTTATTTTATCTATTGCACGTATGATACGTTCATAAATTTCACTTATTTTATCATTGTTTGATTGAGAAATAAAACTCAAATGATCTTCTTCATTAATCCAAATTATCAAATTCTCATTTCTATTTACAAAAATTCCACGACCTAATAAAAATTAAAATAATATCAAAAACTCGAAATATAATTTTCTTTTTTTAATTCTTCCATGATCTAATTTTTTTTTTCTCATATAGATATTTTATTTACCAGGGGCTTCTCTCTACGCATGCCACAATTACAGACGACAGTGTTTTTTTTTAATTTACTTCAAGAAAATTTTAGAATACATTTCAATCATTTACCAGTTGGCCAATGATTATATGCTTTGGCATTTTCTAAATGACGATCATTTGGCTCCTATGAATAGATAAATCCAAACAATATATTCTTTTTCATAATAATACTAACTTGAAAAAGAATAGATTTTTCTCGTAGTTTAATTAGATCAATTTCATTAATATCTTTAAGTGAACGATATTCACCTTGTAAATCTTCATCTATATATTCAAGTGCATTTCGAATGCGTTCTTCAATTTCTAATAATTGATTGATAGTTAATTTTGGAATCATTGGATAACCTTGAATAGAACGATTAATACGAATACGTATTGATAAAATATGTTTATTTAATTCTGATGATAAATCTTGAATATGATGAAAATCACCAAAATCATGTTTAAATATTAAATTTCGTATATCCACTTTATGATAATCCATAATTACAGGCCAAAAAAGACTTCGAAATAATTCATAACAATCTCCATCAGATGCATATAAACCACAAATTGTGTCAGAATTTTCTAATGCTGATTGAATACAATCATAAAATGTTGAATTAAATTGAGTTTTTTTACGCATTAAACACCATATTTCACATGGTTCAAGCCAAAGGAAATATTTTTGTGTTAAAGATTTTTTTTTTGTTTGTTGATTTATTGAATTTTGTCGCTCAATATTTGTCATTGAAATCGAAATCGAAATCGAAAAAAAATCAAACTATTCCTTAGTAACAATATGTTTCCATATATAAATATATATTTTCGATTGTACATCGAAAAGAAATATAACAATAAGCCTTATTATAGATTAATTAAAACTAGTAGTCAAGACTTAGAGTTATCTAATAGAATACAATTACTTGAAGATCCTTGATAAAACAATAGTGAAGTATATCTATATGGACTTTTGTATATAATTTTATATTAGGAAAAAGCTGAAACATTAGAAAAAATGAATTGTAAAGATACTTGATGATGGAGATTTTCTGACATTATATATTGATTGTTATTCTTTATACAATCCCATGATAAGATTATCAAAATAAGAAACCTATTGTTTCATGTTTTCTAGCATTGTATCAGAACATACTGGATTGGAAATCTTCGTCAAGAAATGATTCTTGTTTAGAATACTTATTAATAAAGTTTTCTTTTTTAGAGTGGAATTTTTAAAATTTTTCGATGTCTTTTTGTTTTTGGAAAAGATTTTCAACATCCCTTAGAATTTATTTGTGGTTCAAAACTTTGTTTTTTTTTTTCTATGTGAACATAAACAATTTGAATTACATGAACTATTAACACAGTTGATATATGCTTTTCTTGAAGGTTGCTATTCATATATTCATCGTAATGCTAATTTGTATGTATATTTACAATTTATAAAAAATTTTTAGTTTTATTATTTTTATACATGTTAATCCAGAATATGCATTAAATTATTTATTAGATGATATTGATCAAATTAATACACTTGCTGATATTCTTCTATTAGTTGTAGTTAAACTTAAAAAATTTGTCATAATAATTCAAAAGAATGTATTTCATTTACTCGTGATATTTATAATGTATTCGATTCGTTAGCACAAGATATACGTTATGAACTCGGCGTAACATTAAGTATATGATCAAATGCTCAACAATTATTAGAGTAGAAAGTCCTTCTTATATTGATCTGGTTATTAAAGTAACAATCTAATTATTGTATTTAATAGTGGAATAAGTTTTGAACTAGTAATGGATAACATTATCTATAACTTAAGCATAAGTCTAGTAAGATGATAAAGAAATTGATGAGTTACAACAATATATAGTTGATTTTTCTAAGATGCATGAAAAACCTTCTGAAGAAAAATCTGCAGCTGTTGAATTTAGAATATATTATCTCTAAATCTTGATTTTTATTTGAAATGAAGTGTTTTCTTAGTTTAATCGAACAGATTATTTTTTTCCAAGATTTTATTGTATTCAATATGACTTTAGTTATAGCTCAAGGTATTACTGCTTTGTCTTCACTGAAATCATTTGTTTTCTAAGATAAAATAATTTTGTCCATCGTTTTTGAACATTTGCCTTATCATCAATAACTAATACATGAAGAATAATGATGATCATATGTTAATATGTATGAGATGATTCAATGAATAATTATTAACCTTTTGTTGTTGTTCTTACTTTAGAACTTCGTGACTACTCTGGAGTTTGCCCAGACCCATCCATGGGAAATCACAAAAAATGGATACTATTGTATTATTCAGGCTACTCATTCATATGTTATAGGCATCTAGATAGTCTTTGTATAACAAATAATCTATCAGTTTTTGTATCAGCGATATGAAAGTATATAATATAGAAAAAAATTATCTGATTCAGTTTTGATAACAGCTTCGCAGATTAAATGAAAAATAAAATCTTTAATTCAGTCACTTTAGTCTAGAATAGTAGAGATATACTCCTATGTTGATATGTACCTTCAGTTACATATAAACGTCAAATGTTAATGTAGTACTGCAAGAAACAACTGCTAAGAAAAAAAGTTAACATTATTGTTATTAGAAGGTTTAAAAAAGAAGATTTATTTGTAAATTAAAGACTACTTCATCTTCCTGACTATGAGAATATCTGTTCTTAATATGAGAGAAAAATATTCAAAGAGCAGATTAATGAAAGAAAGAGAAGATAAAAACAACTCTCAGTTGGAAAATAGATTAAGTAAGATGATCAATAAAAGTAACTCAATTTAAGCGGAATATCATTTCCTTCCAACTAGTTCAGTATAGAACGCCATATATCATGCAGTCCTATTTTTTCTCAATCTAAAATCAAATCTGATAAAATCACTACTGGATTTTTATAGGGTTAGTTATAATGGAACTGTTATAGTACGCTCTTATCATTAGTTGGTTACGAAATTCATCAGTATATGAGTTCACAGTTAAACAAATAATCAAGCTTAAGAGTGTTTTTACTAGGACTTGAAACAGCTTCTGTTACGTTTCTATTTTTTCTTTTGCAGTTCATCAAACATCTGATCAATAATTAAATTATATATTTGAATTAGTCACATTTGATGATGTGAAAATAAAAGAAAAGTCTTAATTTTTGACGATAATATCACATAATTTTACATTTATGAAAGTAAGATTAACAGAAAATGATGTTATATATTCAGCAATATTATTTATATTGTAATCAATTCACAAGTAGTTCGTCTTTCGTTTGTATTAAATAATATACATATTGATATAATCAATTATATTATACTGAATACATGTAAAAATAATGAGTTTTCGTCACATTTAGGGTGAATTTCAATAGAAAAATCAACTTCTTAGAGGTACAACAATACGTAATCTTAACGTATTTTTTATGGTTTTAGTTTCATGACTTCAAATCTGTATGCTAAATCAATATTTGATAAGGATGTTTTAGCAATTATTTATACTAAAAAATCAACTAGATATATCGATGTGTCTGTTATTGGACGAATTCAAATGCGAGAAACAAGTCAAGACATGATTTAGTCAAGCTGAACTTTCATTTTATTTTTAAAAAGAATGATATTTTATCGAATTTCTTTTAGGGATAACAAAGTTCATGTGGTTTAAGAAACTATTTTTTTAAAACATGTTGACTGTATCAATACTAACAAAATAGAATAATTTTTTTTCTTCATATGTATTTTTAAAATGTTAAACAAATAAATGTTTATAACAATGAAAAAGAATAGTTTCTAAAATTTAGTTTTAATTAATTCTTTTTTTTTTGATTTATAACAATGCATCGTCTACGTCTTATGGTTGACGTTATACAAAGTAAAAAATTAGTTTCTTATGCTTATGGTCAATCACTGCAATCTCATTATATTCAACGTCTAGTAAATGGTACTAGTAATCCTGCATTATTACTTTTTGAATTTGAACCAGTTTATACATGTGGTCTTCGTCGATCATCGTCTATTATTACTTCAGCTCATATTGAACGATTGCGTTTACTTGGTGCACATTTTTATGAAACTGATCGTGGTGGTTTATTGACTTTTCATGGACCAGGTCAACTTGTTGCTTATCCAATTCTACCTCTTCAACATAAACTTCTCCAATTAACACTTCGAACATATATTAGTCGTCTTGAACAAACGCTAGTTGATACTTGTCGAGAGATTATTGGTCAAACAAGAGTTTATGCAGGAATAGAAAATGGACGAACAGTAAATTATGCTGGAGCATGGATAGATAATCAACGAAAAGTTGCTTTTATGGGTGTACGTTATTCACGTGGAATAACATCTCATGGTGTATCAATTAATTGTTCCATTAATATGAATTGGTTTGATCATATTATACCATGTGGATTTGATCGACGACAAATAACTTCATTAAGTGATGAAGTATCTTCTGAAAAAATAATAACTGTAAAACAAGTAACACCAATCTTTTTAGAACATTTTCAAAGAATATTTAATGTTGCTTTAAGAGAGAGTCAAGAGAAATTCATTTAAGTATAGACTTGTCATGCTAAACTTTTTACATTTGAATGTGATAAACATATGAGTAATATAGCTTTTTCTTCTTTATAAATATATTACGATGAATAAATAAATCATGTACATTTCTCAATAAACATATACTTATATGAAGTATTTTGTTAAAAGTTAACAGAAACCAAGATTTGCTTGAAAAATAATTAGAATTATTAAATGATTCAGTACTTTGTGTTGCATTACTTTTAGGTAATCAGTGTGCAATATTGTAAAAAGATTGTAAAAATCTATTCATTCAGTGAAACATTAATGTACTCTTTGGTATTAAAAATCTTTAACAATTGCCATTAAATATATATTGTGACATGAAGTACGAAATGAAAAAGGTTCTTCTTGGAATAGCGTCAAAAAAAAAGAAGAAATCAATTTCTCCTATGAAATCTACCGTTTTCAATAATTGCTATATGGATTTTATTCATTTTTTCAAAGTGGTAAAAAAAATGAAGAAGTATTGATCTTTGTTATTTTAAGTAAATGCTACACAATCTATTCTTAAAATCACTAAAATTTTATAATGAATTCTTGTGAACAATTATGTATTCATAACTGTACTCAGCAAGAGAAAGGATCCATAGACAATGGTTTAGAGCTCTTGATTTCGACACCACTTTTTGAATTCTTTAAAGTTCTAGCATACTATGATTATAATTCGGACTTTTTGTGTACTTTCAAATATGGTTCTACACTGTGGAAAAATAGTAGAAATCATGTCAAATGAAAAAGACAGATAGTCTTTAAAATTTATATTGTCAGTTATTTCAGGGCCGTTTATTGAAATTTAAAAACTGATGGAAAAGAAAAATCAATTCATAACTCAAAATGTACTAAGACGAACAAGTATGTATAAAATATCATTTGCATCTCGTAAGATTTCTGGCACTTTTGAAGTATGACTGTACCGTTTTGAAAAAAAGACTTTTTTTTGGAAAGATGCAGAATAATTAGGAAATAATTACAAAGTTTTGTACACTGGTATCTAATGTTCACTTTTATTTTAAATTCTATTCCAGGCAAGCCGTTTATCATTCTGTTTTAGTTGCTTTCTCAAAAAAATTCTATAGGATCGGAAATCACCAAAAGACATATGCCTATTACACTTCATGATAAATCAGTTCTTTTTTCTCTTTTCGTTTTGATTCACAAAGTCTTTAAGAATTAAAATAAAAATCTTAAAAATCAGCTGTTCAAATAATAAGATTTTCTAGTAGGAGGAAAGACTGAAAATCTGGAGTCTTCTGATCAAATCCGGAGATCTGATAAATGTATTTTTGCCTAAAAACTTCGCTATATCAAATAATTCAATTTAATTTCTGATCAGCAAGACGGAGAATTGCGATAGTTATAAACTGATCAATACGACTTTGTTTATAGTTACACTTACTTAGGCTTGCCACGCCTTGAATACAAGTAAACATTCTCTACTCTCTACAGAAGAAAAGTTGGAGTAGATCGGTCTTCAAGATTAACGAAAACTTTTTTAGTTATTGTATCTATGAGAAAACAATGGTGGAGAAAATCGTTCTCCAGTCCAGGAATGATTTGAATTTTTTCTATTGAGATCGAGTTAGATATCATCATAGTCATATTTCACGATTCAAATCTATGATTCGTGATATTACAGCTCTTGGAACCTAGATCCCTTCTAGAGTTTCGAAAACATTTGTCCCTATAGTTCGATCGCAGCATACCTATATAAAATATCAGTCAAGTATGCTGACGACGAACATCGTATTCAGAACGAATAGAACTGCATTCTCTGTTTGAGAGAGTCAGCTCTGAGTGTGGGTGTGGGTGGGATTAGACTCTTTTCTGGACTCACTTAACACGTGCCTACATGCACACCCACGCTCCTCACGCACAAACGACGACATCATCTAACAAATACAGGTGAACAACTTTCATGGAAACTTTGTTACTATAATATCGGCTGAAGAATGATAAAATGTTGTAGAATGATAGAGCACTATTCAGACTATAAGTATATAAAAATAGAAAACTCTTAAAACTTGTTATAGGATATCATAATGTCGTATCATTATTTTTGACGTTTCCCAAGTATCTAATTCATATATTAACAATTTGAAATAGTACGGATTATTCGAAAACTATTTGAGCTCTTAGAGTGAATTAGTCGATGAAGCTTGTTCGATAACACTTCGAATTTTTAGGTATATATATATGATTGAGAGGCTTCCAAGATTTATTGTGTTTGAATTCATTGAATTTATTGAAATCCAAGACGTATCTTTTGATAATATACTATACTTTTGACTTTGATCTGAAGAGCGATCTATATCATGAAATTATCGACTTTTTTCTCATAGTCAAGGGAGAGCTTTCGAACGAAATATCGTTTGTGAAATTGTTCAACTCAGACACGTTGTTGTTTCTGCTGAAAAATAGCCAAAGACGAATGTAGCAGATATGTATATATATGCATAGTTAATTGCAAAACACAATCAGCAACTGTATAAGTTTATGAACTGTAGGTTGGACATGATAATATTAGAGTGAGTCTAAGGAAAAATTTGAAGAAAGAATAGAAAGGAAGAAAATTTAAAATTGTAAAGAAACGACAGAAACAAAAAAGCAAAACATGCATATGACAATATAATAGAATGGCAAATTATACTATAAGCGCTAACACAAGGACCAAAATTACAAAAAACAAGAGAGAATCTACAAAATTGATAGACGCCAGGCTAATATTAATATTTCTTAACATATTCTTGAATAGTATCCAGATAGATGATGACTTATGTAAGAAAAAAGACAAAGGTAACACTTTAAACATGAATGGTTGCATTTAATAAAAACAAGTTGGATAAAATAAAAACCACTTACATATAACTTCTGAACAAATATACAAAAAAAAAGAAACTCACATTCTTTTGTGACGTTTAATTTAGGTGAAATTTTTCTAGAATCCGTAGCTCATCCTCTATTGTAACGAGAATTCTTCTAGCTACATGATAGAAACAACTTTGTTTGAAAAGATGACATTCAAAACATAATATTTAGTGAACATCATGTTATTTTGAAATCTAAGAGAATATCATCTAAGAATCGATAGAAGGCTTTTGGTATCCATTCATAGTAGTTATATGAAATGTATCTTAACATCAAACAATACAGAAGAGAATTTAATAAATGACTGAAATAGAAGGATGAAGGTATAGTTTTGTTCTTTAATTATTATAATCTTTGTTCTTCTGGTTAAAAATTAATTCATTATCTTAAATGATTTTCTTTTCTTTGGGAATCATATGTTACGTGCCAGTTGGTTGAATCCTGTTATTATTCGTTCGAAACATTGCCCACCGATAAAATTGTTGCTTTAATGGTTTTTGCGCTTCTTTTAAACCTGTAAGACATATTAATGGATAAAGAAGCATACAAATATATTGATAATAATTCAGATAAGATACACTAAGATTTAATACTATTGGATTTGGTGCATACAGTACCATAAGAAAACAAACAATAATCGGTACCCAAATAATAATATAGAACACAGAAATAGACAACAGTTGAATAACCATACGTCGATTTCGTCGCCATGAAAAGTTATGAACTATACGAAGCCGTTTACCAATGACACGAATCACAAGTAAAATACTACCAAGGATCGAAATCGTTACCGTTATAGTCAGATTTCCAATCCAGTCCATTGCACCAAGAAATCTCTACGATAGAAAAGTCAAACATATAATAATTCGAATGTTTAGTAGCAATTTCTTTGATTGATTTAAATCCTTGTCATTTGTACTGATTGAATTTACTTACTTCATATTCATAACATGGTCTACCACAAAGAGAATGTTTATATGAAAATTGATTTGTACATTGATAAATACCGACAGAGTACACATAGAATAAGGTGGGATAAATAATACAAAAAGAAAGTGGAATATAATGAAGAATGACAAGATGTTTATTGAAAAAGACTCGATGAAATATGCATAAATGTCTTTCAATACAACCGTATGATAGAGCGAACAATCCAATACCCACCAAAGAAAAATTATAAATATTCCAAAAAATACAGAAAGAATCGCTGTGCATTAAGACTGTACCGGTCTTAAGTAGTTTCAGATTTAACGGTAGTTCCGTCGTCACCTATATAAGTAAGTTTCTTTTCTTTTTAAATTCAAAAGAGAAGACAAAGAAAAATTACCTGAATAAAATTGATAATCAATAATAGTAAAACAATATGATTATCAACACGAACGCGTAAAACACGCAATCGAGCAAATTGATAAAAAAGATACATTGAACAAAGGACAGATGGAATCATCAATGATAACAGAACAATAAAAATGATTGATTCATGCTGAGGATTTCCGATTCGAGCCATTTTGATTAACTCTTATTACCAATTGATTTTCTATCAATGTATATCTTCAATCGAGTATTTTTAGTTCTTGCTTACTCCTGTAATCGACGTACAAAAAAATAAAACATCCGAGTTTTCTTATAGAAAAAAGGATGAAGATTTGTGTAAAAGCCTATTTTATTTATAATAATGTTGGAAGTGACCCTTTTATCGTTCAAAAAAACATAAAAGTTGAGATCATTGTCTATATTTTACGCAGCCGCTTCTTTTCTTAATTAATTCCTGAAGCTTTTGAGCTTTTTTTATTATGTAGTTATAAAAAGAAGACGAGCATCATCATCATGATCATCGTCAAAAAAAAAGAAGTTTTTTCTATTTAACTGGTTAATCAAAAGCATTAGAATCGTGTGGAACGATTGCAGAAAATAAAAGGAACATAAGATTTCAAAACAATAAGAACATTTCTTTTAATGAACTGCATGAGCTTTTGACTGTTGAAAAGAATATTTTTTTAGCCACTTTGTCTTTGAAATATCAGACCTACAAATTTGATAATTGCGAAAAAAACAGAAAAATAGCATTTTTCGAAACATTTCTGCGTGATATACATTAATGAAGAATCGCATTAGTGAGTTAGATGTATTTCGGAAGCTTGATAATAACTCAGCGAATTGCAGATACCAAGGCATACAATTGATCATCCGGCGATTACTGAGTAGTTAAAGTGCGATCAAGAACAAAGTTAATATACAGTGGGTCTAAAAGTTATTGACTCATTCCTACATCATCACTTTCTTTTCTCTGATATGTTGGGACCAAATCAACAAGAGACCTAAAACACAAGCTATAATATAGCCTGTTGCTAGTAATGTATATGCTATTATTTTTAAGCTTTTCTATCCTGCCTTTCCTATTTTGCTTCAGAAATAGTAAAGAAGTGTTGGTTTTGTTCGTCGAAGAAAAATTGGGTCGGTTTCTTCAAACCAATTTGTTCTCTAATTAATAGTTGTTGCTAGCGAAAATTGTTCCTTATCCTTATTATGCTAGATCTTAAGAAATAGATATCAGTTGAAACGATCTGCATAAATCATTTCAAAAACATTTTCTCTAATAGAAATGGATGCCTTGAGGAAAATCTTCCATGTATCGAACAGAAGAAAGTGATTCTCTAGAGTTAAAATGGAACTGGATCCTGATTTATTTTCACGAAGTTATAGCTTTCACAAATTATATGTGTTCTCAAACCCTTGACCGGTGTCAAATTTTGAAAAATTTTCCCATAAAATATTTTAACCTTATTTTTCAATAATTTGATAAGAGAACAAAAATTGTATATGCTCTGAAATATTTTCAATGATTCAACAAGTATTTTCAAAAAAATATTGATTTTGCTGTAAACTATGTTTTTCTATATCCAAAACAATTTTTTCTAAAACATTCGCTTGAAAATTCAGAACTGAAGAATATTGCAATAAAAAACTGTTATGGTCAAAAGATATGCCATGGGACTCTGCATATACTAGGCGAAATAGAACTTTTATTTTGAAAAAAATGCGTCGAAGAAAAAAAAAACAAATTTTTTACATGATTCAAAAATGAAGAAAACCTATGCTGTTCGATAAAGAATTTTAACCTTTGGCGGCGATGTGGCTCATCGGTGGGCAACACTATAGGGTATCCCAAAAGCTCATTTACCACAGAAAAAAATTGAATATCTCTATCATATTTTGACCAAAGAAGTTGATATTTTTATCACTCATAAAGGAATGTTCATAGTACATATTCATAAAAAAACGTTGATAAAACCTGTTTTGAATTATTACAGTCGTCACAAATAAAGAAATGAAACCTTTCACAAATTATGAAAAAGCAACATTTATGTCGACGCGAAAGGGTTTATAAGCAACAAAACAATATATAAACTTATTATAAAATAACATGGCATAATAAACTTTCTTAAATAAATATCTGCGCACACAATGATATGGCCTAGTATTATAAAATGAGAATTATTAAAAAAATAAAGGAAATTGTTTTTACATAGTTTTCTAGGGATCGTCGTGTTCTACAAAGTTGTATATATTAAAACTTTGTGAAATCATTGTTATGAGACAGAAAGTTTAAAAAAACTATTTAATAGAAGGGTAAAAAAAGCCTGAAATTTTTTACATAGGAGAAAAGCATTTTAATTGCCCAATAAGTTAAGCTCTTTTAAATTTTTTCCATGGCTTAGAAAGCTTACTGATAGACTCCTACGATTCTGCGTCAAAAAGTACATATAATGATATAAGTTAACTTATATCATTATATGCTCCTTTTGACACAGGATCAAAGGAGTCTATCAGTAAGCTTCCTAAGCCATGGAAAAAATTAAAAAGAGCTTAACTTATTCGGCAATTAAGAGACATTCCATGAAAAAACCGGAGATATCGAAAACATGGGGGTCAATCGATTTTGGATTTAACTCCCTAGGTATTTCAGACCTTCTCTACCATAGATGAATCGAAAATATTACAGTCTAATGATTCACCTCTGGTTCGCTAGGGCTGTCCGACCATAGACACCCTCAAAAATAACACAAAAAAGTGTGAAAAATTGACCTTTACTTTTTTTAAAATTTTTCCGTCGCAAATTTTTCACTATTCAAATTGAGTCATATACCAATCAATAGATCTTTACTTGCTCTACAAATCTTCACATGTGACATTTCTTCTTTATCTCAATTGAGACTCGAAAAACTCGAAATACAGTGTTTTTTTCAGCCTAGAAATTTTTCTTTTCATTCAGTATTTTGATTAAACGGCTACGTTGCAAAGCAATTGCCAATAATATAACCAGTCAATATTGTAGTCCGTTCAATTCTGCATTCAATGATGTATACATAGGGCATCGTTTGTAAGTGTTCTCAACTAGACTATTTAGGCGGAAATGTTGAGTTCTGCCTGAGTGTGGGTGTGTGTGTGTCTGGTGTGAGTGTGGGGTGTGGGTTTGTGGGTGTGGGTGATGTAGGATGTGGATGTTGGCATAGTATTCATGTCATCTTCACCCACCCACACCCACACCCTACTTGTCAGCACTTCCGAATGTAACAATAAAGCGAACGAAATTAAAGGAAAGTCTCAACTGACATATTTTAAACAAAGTTTTTTTTTTCGTTCTTTCGTTTTTTTCAAAAAATCTTGCACAAGTAAGACGAATGTCGATAATACAATGTAAACAAACACACACACGTGAAGAAAAATAAATTTCAACAGGTATTCATTTTAACGACGGATACTACCTGAAAGCAAGCAACAATAATGAGTAATAAAATTCGTGCGTCTCTTCTAACATTGCCTATTGAGCTTGTC